CACCCAACTGAGCTAAAACCTTTTTAGGGTTAATAGGTGTGTAGTGTAGGTGTGCGGAACGAAGGTCATTTTGCGCGCATACGCCTGCACGTGCGTGCGCGTGAAATGAGTGAATTGACTGATATACTTAATATAGCTATAACTTTTACATTTTTTGATGAAATGCTTTGAAACTCATTACACGAGGATATATTAATAGTGTTAATAAAATTACACTGTCAAATTAGCAAGAACTCACGCGCATGCACGTGCGCTTTGCTCTGATTGGCTGAAACAAAAATCTCAATATCTCTTTTGTTTTTCGACGAAATGCTTTGAAATGTTAAACATTATCATGAATTAGGATATCCTACAATATAATATGGAAAAAATTTCATGAAATCACGCGCATGCACGTGCGCTGCAATCTGATTGGCTGAAACTTTAAATGGCTATATCTCCTTTGTTTTTTGACGAAATGCTTTGAAATTTAAAACATAGTCACGCATTAGGATATCCTGCAATATGATTTACAAAAAATTTCAAGAAATCACGCACATGCACGTGTGCTGCAATCTGATTGGCTGACACATTAAGTGGCTATATCTCCTTTGTTTTTTGACGAAATGCGTTGAAATTTAAAACATAGTCATGCATTAGAATATTCTACAATATGATTTAGAAAAAGATTCTTGAAATCACGTGGATGCACGTGTGCTGCAATCTGATTGGCCGAAATTTGAAATGGCTATAATTCCCTTGGTTTTCAACCAAACAGGATGGGACTTAGAACATAGATAGATATAAAGGCCTCCTACAAGAGGGTGTGGTCATCATGCACGTGCACGCACGTGCGTGCATATTCGAACGAGTGAAATTAAATATACACTTAAATGAGTGATTTTTTAAATACTTCTGGACTAAATGCTTTAATATAAAGTATATTGAAATATATATAAAGTGTAGACAAGATTATATGATCATTACGCACGTGCATTCACATGGGCACGCGTGCAATGTTAAAATTTGAATATAATTGGTATCCTTTTGGGAAAACGTTGTTAAAGTAAAAAATGCACAGATGTTGTCTTATTTAATGTAGCTTACAGGGAATATGGCATCAAAAGGGATTTGGAGAGCGTTTGGGGAACATCTGTAACGGTTCCCGTTACAATTAGCACTAGTTATTATGTTCCCCAAACGGAGTTTGGGAACATATTGTTTTTACTCGGTTTCTTATTATTATTATTATTATTATTATTCTTTTTTTTCTTCTTTGTTCTCCGGTACTTTTTTTGTCCGCGAGTGTTCTCAGAAACTGTTCACCCAACTTAGCTAAAACCTTTTTAGGGTTGATAGGTGTGTAGTGTAGGTGTGCAACACGAAGGTTATTTTGCCCGCATACGCATGCACGTGCGGGCGCGTGAAATGAGTGAAATGACGGATATACTTTATATAGCCATAACTTTAACATTTTTTGATGAAATATTTTAAAACTCATTTAATAAGGATATATTAATAGTGTAGATAATGTGACACTGTCAAATTAGCACGAACTCACGCGCATGCACGTGCGCTTCGCTCTGATTGGCTGAAACAAAAATCGCAATATCTTTTCTGTTTTTTGACGAAATGCTATGAAATTTAAAATATAGGCATACTTTAGGATGTACTACAATATGGTATATAACAATTGTCATGTAAACACGCGCATGCACGTGCGCTGCAATCTGATTGGTTTAAACTTTAAATGGCCATAACTCCCTTGTTTTTCAACGAAACAGCATGGGATTTAGAACATAGATAAACATAATAGACTCCCACAAGGAGGTATGGTCGCCATGCACAAGCATGCACGTGCATGCACGTGTGCTTTGCTGTGATTCGCTGAAACAAAAATCGCAATATCTTTTTTTTATTTTTGACGAAATGCTTTAAAATTTTAAACATAATCATGCATTAGGATGTCCTACAATATGATATATAACAGTTGTCGTGAAAACATGCGCATACACTTGCGCTGCAATCTGATTGGCTTAAACTTAAAATGGCTATAACTTCCTCGTTTTTCAATCAAACAGGATGGGATTTAGAACATAGACAAACATAACAGACCCCTACAGAAAGATACAGTCGACATGCACATGCATGCACGTGTGTGCACGTGTGTGCACGTGAAATGAGTAAAATTACAAAAACACTAGATTAAAACGTATTTTTTAATACTTTTGGATAAAACGCTGTAATTTCTAGTATAAAGATAGTGTAGACAAGATGATATGGTCATTACGCACATGCATTCAAATGCGCATGCGTGCAATGCATAAATTTGAATATACTGAATATAATTCTGGGAAAACATTGTTATAGTCTAAAAGGCATAGAGTTCGTCTTATTTAATGAAGCTTACAGGGAATAAGGCACCAAAAGGGAGTTGGGGAGTGTTTGGGGAACATCTGTAACGGTTCCCGTTACAATTAGCCCTAGTTATTATTCTTTTTTTTCTTCTTTGTTCTCCGGTACTTTTTTGTCCGCGAGTGTTCTCAGAAACTGTTCACCCAACTAAGCTAAAACCTTTTTAGGGTTAATAGGTGTGTAGTGTAGGTGTGCGGAACGAAGGTCATTTTGCGCGCATACGCATGCACGTGCGTGCGCGTGAAATGAGTGAAATGACTGATATACTTAATACAGCTATAACTTTTACATTTTTTGATTAAATGATTTGAAACTCATTATATAAAGATATATTGATACTGTAGATAATATGACTCTGTCAAATTAGCACGAACTCACGCGCATGCACGTGCGCTTCGCTCTGATTGGCTGAAACAAAAATCTCAATATCTTTTCTGATTTTTGACGAAATAATTTGAAATTTAAAATGTAGGGATACTTTAGGATGTTCTACAATATGATATATAAAAATTATCATGAAAACACGCGCATACACGTGCGCTGCAATCTGATTGGCTTAAACTTTAAATGGCTATAACTCCCTTGTTATTCACCCAAACAGGACGGGATTTAGAACATAGACAGGTATAATGGACTTCTACAAGACGGTATGGTCACCATGCACATACATGCACGTACGTGCACGTGCGTTTCGTTCTGATTGGCTGAAACAAAAATCTCAATATTTTTTTTGTTTTTTGACGAAATGCTATGAATTCTTAAAATAAATACATACTTTAGAATGTACTACAATATGATATATAACAATTGTCGTGAAAACACGCGCATGCACGTGTGCTGCAATCTTATTGGCTAAAACTGTAAATGGCTATAACTCCCTTGTTTTTCAACCAAACAGGATGGGATTTAGAACATAGACAGACATAATAGACTCCTACAAGAAGGTATAGTCCTCATGCACGTGTGTGCACGTGAAATGAGTAATATGAAAATACGCTTAAATGAGTGTTTTTTTTTAATACTTCTGGATTAATTAATTTGATATTAAGTATATTAAAATATATAAATAGTGTAGACAAGATGATATGGTCATTACGCATATGCATTCAGATGAGCACGCGTGCAATGCTAAAATTTAAATATATTTTGTATTCTTCTGGGAAAAGGTTGTTTAAGTCCAAATTGCATGTGTCTTATTTAATAGCGCTTACAGGGAATATGGCACCAAAAGGGAGTTGGGGGGGGGAGGGGGGGTTTGGGGAACATCTGTAACGGTTCCCGTTACAATTAGCCCTAGTTAATCATAAATTTCCACTATTTTCAGCTTTAGGTGATGAACAAAAACTTTATTGGTTACTCAATACAGAAGATAAGGAAACTCTTAATTTTGTGGGCAAATTTATAAATGATAACATGTTTTAGTAGCATTAGTCTTTTACACATACATGCATATTTGATGTATTCCTTTTAGGCAGGATTATTGTTAAAATGATTTATGTCAATTACTAATTGTATAATTGTTTTGCTATTCATTGGCTTATCTTTTCCTTATTATTATAACAATCTCATACTTGTCTGTTATGGGCTCTAAATTAGTAATAAAATGTTCTGTTCTGTTCTATAATATAAATACAAGGGTACAGTAACAATATTATGTAAATTTTCATCAAGATTATATTGTTATGACATAATTTTAAATTTTTTTTAGCTCACCTGAGCTGAAAGCTCAAGTGGGCTTTTCTGATCAACTGCTGTCTGTAATGTCTGTCTGTCTGTCGGCCAGTTTGTAAACTTTTCACATTTTCAACTTCTTCTTCTCATTAGAATCACAAGGCCAATTTTAAACATAATTGTTAAACAAACTTTAATATAATTAAAGCATCCTTTGTTGAAGGGGAATTTGAATTAATTGTTTAAATGAAGGACCGAGTCCCCTTCCAAGGGAAGAAAATCAAGAAAAGACAAAACTAGGGTTGGGTCATTAAAAAGTCTACCTCTCAAGAACCATAGGGTCAGGAAAGCTGAAACGTATGTGGAGGTATTTTGTAGTCATGATAGTAGTGTAGATTCTAAATTGTCCAAATCATGACCCCTGGGGGTAAGGCGGGTCACAGTTTATATTCCATTTGGGAGGATCTATTAAAGAATAGAATGGCCAAAGTTACTCGGGTGAGTGATGTGGCCCATGGGTCTCTACACTTTGATTTTTATACCCACTGCTTGAAAAGCAGGAGGGTATATAGTAATCGTTAATTCCGTTCATCTGTACGTCTGTCCGTCCGTCCGTCTGTTACGCTTTGGGGTACCCATCTCCTATCCGCAACTCCTCTCATACCACAGAATGAAATTTGATGAAACTTTCACAGAATCTTTATTACATATTGCCATTGTGCACCTCCTATTTTACTTTTTGATCCAACACATATTTTGGGTTTCTCCGCCTCAGCAAAACATGGACTTTGCCATTATAACTATATGGAGGCGGGGGGTATCATTTAGTGAGCTCATCGCTCACAGTACCTCTAGTTGAGCATTAAAATTGCCTTGGAATGATCAAAGATTTTGTTAAAAATAATGTTAAAATTTTATCTTTTGTTTGGTAACAGATTTCCTGTGGTGATATTTTTAAAGAGGCCCCTGCTGCCCATGCCTTAGTAAGTGTATATTTTTAGCTCTGCTGGTCAGAGACCAGAAGAGCCTATGCGATAGTAATGCGTCCGTCGTCTGTCCATCTGTCTGTAAACAATTTTACAAAATGCTACTCCTCCTACAGTTTTAGTCTGATTTCAATATACTGTAACTTGGCACACAAGTAGACTACACTAAGATACATAATTCTGTGTATCGGTTTTTGATTTGGATGAACGGTGTTGCCATGGTTACTAGAAATAGACATCTCTGTGAAATTCTTTCAAAATGCTTCTCCTCCTACAGTTTTGGTCTGATTTCAATATAACTTGGCACACAAGTAGACAACACTAGGATACATAATTCTCTGTATGAACGGTGGTGCCGTGGTTACTAAAATAAAAATTGCTAAGAAATTCTTTCAAAATGCTATGTATCCTACAGTTTTGGTCTGATTTTAATATAACTTTGCACACAAGTAGACAGCATTAGGATACACAATTCTGCATATCGGTTTTTGACTTCGATGAACATTATTATTCTATTTATTGCTGTTTTAATTTAAAAGTTTCAATTCCCAACTGCTTAAATACTTTTCTCTTCCTTTGCTATAAGTACAAACCAGTAGAGCTTCAGTCTTGACAGAGACTTCTGGTTTATATTTCTTCTGCATTCTCTAATCAGTAACTGTTCACATTTAAGCAGCATCTTTGAATTATTGAAAAATTAGTGTAAATTAAGAATTTTTTTTCATTTAATGGTATCGTGACAAATTGAAATTCAAATATTACTCTTATTGATTTCAGGTGTCCCCAACAAATAGCTTTGGTTTTATGGACATAGGAATTGACATGGTGTACTCCAAGCACTTTGGATGGCAAATGTAAGTCATAAATTATTGAGGGTAACATTTTTAAGGGTTTTTTCCTATAAACAAAAACACTGTTTTCAGAAAAAAATACCAGTGCTAAACAAAAAATGCACATGCCTTTAGAAACATATAAAGAGAAAGAAAGAGACAGATCTAGAACTAACAGAATTATATTAAGGACTCACTATGGAAAATGTCAGACAAAATCCAGTCTCTTATTCCCCTGGATCCACTGGGCAGTTAATAGACCCCTAACCAAAGTCTAAAAAGTTCTTTGGGATTGGGGGAGGGGGTATGTGTGGCATAGGTATATATTATCCATAATACACAAATCACGTAGTACTACATTCAAATATCATATCCAGATTATATAAGGCCATTCCAAGTTTTTTCTATGTTTAGCGTCCGTGTGCGCCTTGGTTTTTGAAACCCCATATAAGAAAAAATACACATCATCAGGAGTCCTGAAATTGATTATTTTAGTCGAAATTTTTGAGTTTTGTCAATTTCTCCAAATAATTCTGTACAGTAAGATATATTGGGTGTATTCTAAGCATTTACTCCATCGTTTTTGCTTAAGAATAGATATTTCTTCTATTAAAGCAAGTTAGTTAGATCAAGTCATTTGAAGGGTGTCATTTTTATGACTTTTAAGCCTGTGTTTTATGTTTTGGATTGTGTGTTTTTTTTTCGAATAGGTAGGTAGGTTTTTGAAAGATGGATGGACGCTAAACAGAGAAAAAACTTGGAATGGCCTAATCATGCTAATTTTGTATTCTGTATGAGTTGGTATGTTGTAATTCACAGGCAGGAACGCTTACAAAAAGTAATTCGAGAAGAGCATGATGGTGAAATTTTAGTTGTAAGTTTATAAGTTTTATGCCGTGTACACATTTCCTTTTTTAAAAGAGACTGAGGGCAAGGCTTATGACAAGGGTGATAACTCTTGTCATACTCCGAAGTCTATTGTTTATACTCAGTATAGTAAACAGGTATTCTATATAAACTTTTGACACAACCTATCTATAATGAACTCTCTCCTTCTAATGTCCACATGCATTTCACTTTAATGTTTGACCAATATTTATCATTCACATCTAAAATCAGAGTGTAGTGAACACAATGTAACATACCTGGTACTGACAGTGTCACTGTTCATAATCATAATATGTAGTTAAAATACAAAATGTTTGAATCACCAAGGCTGGACAGAATTTGAATCCATTCCTAGTTTTGAATTGTTTGCCTTCAGTTTTAAAAAGGACTGTAGTTATTGTACATACATGTATATGAAATTATTAAAATTGCTAGTATCATTTATGCCCCCGTAATCAAATATTTAGGAGTACTATATAAAGTTTTTGCCCCGTCCATCCATTTGTCTGCATGTTTTTCCACATAAACTCTAACCTTGCCCATAACTTTTGATTGGGTGGGGCTACAGCTTCCATATTTCACAGGTGTATTTCTTGTGACAATACCTTTCTTTGGGTACCACCAAATTTGACCTCCTGACATTTATTTTGGAGTTTGATACACTTTTACAAAAGATTACTACACTTTAACCTTGGCCAAAACTTTTGAACAGTAGGTGCTAGGGCTTTTATACTCTACATTTGTATTCATTGTGACAAGACCTTTTGATGAGAACCAGGTTATAAATATTTTTGACCTTGACCTTTGAGTTTTTTTTCAGACTCACTTTTAGAAAACTGTAAACTTGGCCATAACTTTTGAACATTTAACATTAGGGCTTTCATACAGATTCCTGTATTCCTTGTGACAAGTCCTTTCTTTGGATATTAACAATTTTGATCTTTTGACCTTGACCTTTGGAGTTTGACTTGCATATGAGAAACTTAAATCCCTGGCATAAGCTGCCATATAGGGGCATTAGTGTTTCACAAACACATTTTGTTTTATTTTATCCATTACAAAAAAAAAACAAAAAAATTTAACTGGGTATGGTAAATCATGAATTATCATTTTAAGCAATTGAAAATGCAGGTTGTCATTGTTTCATTTTCGTACAATTGGTTTTTGTTCACCACTTTCACTAGAATATAGGATTAAGGATTTGGACTGTCTGTCATTCTTTTTGTCTGTCTGTTACACTAGGTTTCCATACGATTGCTCAATAAGTTCTTGTGTTTTAGCAATAAAACCCTTAAGAAAAGTTGTCTGGAGGTTTTGAGGTAATAAGGTCAAGGTCAGAAATCAATACTGCAGTATATTTCATGAAAGGCTTTTCATTGATATGTTACATTTTTTTAGATTTTGCATACACTTTATTTTTAAAATATCATAACTCACTATGACTAAAAGAATATTGCTTTGAGGTCAGAAGGTTGAGGTTGTCTTACCAGTGCTGCATTCAAGATCATAGCAGATGCAAGTCTAGCTCCTAGGCAAAATGCTTGTTCAAGGTGCTTCAGGCCAGCATTCAGTTAAAATGGAATCTCTTTGTAGAGCTCTGTAGCTGCCCTGCACTAATATTGTGAGGAGGAGATTATTCCTTGTATTTAAGTTGAACACTATTCGTAAAAGGAATGTGTCTGCCATTTTTGTTCGAAGAATTGCTTTACCTGCAGACCCCTATATAAAGGGCAGGACTTTGTCACGTCTCAGTGTGTAATCAGTAGACGGTGTGGAAAGATGTATGCTATACAACACTCGGTAGCGACAATAATAATGTATACTTCATCTAATGCAGGAAAGTAAGATACCAAAGAAACTTATAATTATAGTTGCACAGGTCAGTGCAGTACACAAACAAACACAGATAAAGGTATAAATGCAATAAAATGTAAACAAAGGTAATGCAAGATAACCAGCACAAACACGGGTCGCCATTCCACACCGATACCTGTGACAATAATGCAGTCAGGTGTGACGAATCTGAATGAATATCCCCTGGTGTTGATGTATCGTAGATAGAGATATTGAAAATGGCATATGACTATTTATGAATCGTGTTCAGCTTTAACTGTTGTTTGTTATTCTTGTTAATAGAAGACTTACCATTATGTGTTGATTTCAGGGGCAAGCTGTAATTATTCCAGCCTACGATGAGCAGGTGCCCCCTAAAGAGGAGGATCTAAAAGGGTGTAATGAGGAAATCCCCATCAAGTACCTGATTTCAGCCCCAGCCATGAGGGTGTCCCAGTGTGTAGAAAAAACAGTGAATGCTTATTTGGCATTTAGAGCTGTCATTTTAGCTGGTAAATCTTATTAATAATTTTACTTAACCCTATGTTAAGTGATAGGTAATTGATTTAAATATTAATTTTGACTGATAAAACTTTGTATATAATATGTAATTGTACATTGGATACTATATATATATCTGATTTACCAAATACATGTACTAATGCCCTGTTCACACAAAGTTTAATTCGCAGTAAATTAATGCGAAGTAAACTAATGCGAATCAAATTAATGCGAATTAAATTGCGTTCACACGACAGCTAATGCGAAGTAAACTAATGCGAATTAAATTTTTCTTCTACAATCAGGCGTCAGTAAGTCTATTATGACGTCATTTGTAAATCACGTCATGTATGCAGAGCCATCCTTTGTTACATCATGTAGTGGCTACAGGTATTCATTAATTTTAGTGATTAACATACTTTCCCTCAATTTTTGAATCAAATATAGCACAAATACCTATATATAACCACCAACACGTGTCCTGTGACTTAATTCTGGCCCTACGCATGCGTCAAAATTTAATTCGAATTAGCTTCGCTTAGCGTTCACACGGAGTTAATGCGAAGTAATTTAATGCGCAGTAAATTAATTCGAATTAAACTAATTCGCATTAAATTCTCCGTGTGAACGCTTAGCGAAGCTAATTCGCAGTAACTTTACGTTTAATTCGAATTAAACTCTCCGTGTGAACAGGGCATAACTGTCTGTACGGAACATTTTATTGAATACCAGGTAGTCCTTACTAATATTTTAAGATTAGGTATTTTATAAAAAAAAAAAGATGTTTGAACTATTAGTACAGAAACACAATAAGAAGAACCCTGATGACAAGATTTTCAGTGTGCTGTGTCCAGGTATGGGGACCACGTTAGGAATGATGGATTACCAGTACAAACAATGTGCACAACAGGTATGTAGCTGTATAAAGGGAGAGTACTCTGTCATTCTATTATTTTGCTATTTTGTCTGATTGTACAATGAAGGACAATGCAAGAGAGAATGTTAAGATATAAGATGTTACTGGCTGGATTTTCCAGAAAAGTTGACCCTTTAGCAAGGAAATTAAACTTTTGCTTTAGGCTCATGGGCCACAAGGCTAACCTGAGTCACTAAGGTGACGTTTTTTGTCCTTCATTGTGTGTTTCGTGAAGCACTTTGTATACCGTATAAGTAGAATTTTTAGCAAGGATTTAATACAGCATTGGCATTATTAGCGAGGGTGCTGAGATCGCTAAAATTAAATATCGCTGAAAATTAATTGCGTTTTATTTGTAATAGCTTCTTTAATGTGCATTTTAAAATAGCTAAAATAACATCTCGCCAAAAATAAATTACCAGATTTTAAGGACAAATTTGTGTCTCGCTAAAAATTCCACTTATACAGTACTTTAAACATGTTAACTATTTCAACTTCTTCTCTGGAACCACAGAACCAATTCCAACCACTATGTTAGGATGCCTTCGCATATGTTCTATCTTTTCCGCAGTACAGTTAAGGTGCGCAATGGAAATATCGGCTAAATTTTGTATTTAAAAATGTATTCATAATTGGGATGGCGATTATTTTTAGTACATTATTTATATCGGATAATTGTAATTATGATTAATAACTACATATCGAGGACAATTATATTTTATATTTAGACTAGTCACGTGATGCGGCAGTCATGCGATTTTAGCACATTGACTTGAAGTATTGATGTTACATATAAATATCACTAGTGCAAGGGCATAACCAAGTTAAATTTCCAAGTTTAGTATATAAATATTTTCAACATGTATCGTAGTTTCTAAAAAGTGCTGCGATCCTGTCTAAATTCTGCAATTGCATTGTTAAAATTATACTTGTATGACCGAATGCTATATTTTTTGCTGGTCAGCGGCATGAAATACTGATATAATTAAATTGTTTTTAAGATTTCATCAGGATCGCAGCACTTTTCAGATACCTTATTAGTTCTAGAGTTGAAATGTAAAAGCTTACTTTGATCCATAGAGTGTATGCCCTTGCACTAGATCGATTTATTAAGACCCCCCACATTACCCTCCGATGTACTTGCATACAAATATACGGCAGTGTCAATTAAATACGTAATGTACAGAAAATATATTAATAAAATAGCGAAGAAGACATTAAATTCAAGTTATTGTCCCATAGAATATCTGTAAATAATATTTTATTTAATTAGAGAATACATATTTTGTTGAGAAAATATTACTTGATCTGTCTCTCACTGCATACAAACTACGTCACGTTGTAAGAAATGACGTCATATTGACAAGTGTATTGCGATCAGTGCCTTGTTTATAACTTGTTATGTTGGATTTAACTAACGACAAAACAACACGCTATAGTAAGTTTTTATGTAGTTTGATGATTTCTTACTGGTTAAATTAGCAGATAAACTCATTTTGTGGTATTTAAAGAAATGTTGTATGACGTATATTGTGTATGATGTCATAGTCAAGTTTTCCCGTACAAATTAGGCTCCGCCTCCTTTTTGTAACCTTAACTGTGCTGCGTCTGCCTCAATGGTTTCTTATAAGAAAATTTAAAATGAATCCATTTTATTTTCACTAATGCTTAACTATAATTTCTCCATGAAAGAGGTTAGGACCTTTAATTTGAATAAAGTTGAATTGATTCTCTTCACCAGAGTTTGATTGAAATTAGGTCTATGGTTTTATAGAAGATGATAATAAAAATTTTGCAATGATGATGATGGTGATGCCAGCAATCTTAGACAATGGATAAAATTTTCCATTTTGATTCTTAAAAAATGGCTCAGATGGGAAAAAATGCTCTCCTAAAGAACACTAGAGCCAAGGAAAGTGCACCTGTAGGAGCCCTTAAATCACATCAATATTTAAAATAGCTACTGGGGTTTATGATGAAAAAAATCTTTGATGAAATACTGCATGGAGGGTGAATATTAAATGGGAACACATTTTCTCCAGTACATGTACTGTAAACCAACTTTTATTCGCGACGACTTTAATTCACGATTTACTGAGGTTAAACTAGTTCGCGACGATTAATTTTCGCGATCAAGCCTTTTTATCTGTTGTTAATAGAGAAAGAGACCTTAAGGACTGGATCGCGGCGAGAAATATTCGCGATGAAGAGGCTGTCGCGAACTTCGCGAAAATTTCTCGCACGCGAATAAAAGTTGGTTTACAGTATATAGTTGTCATGCAAATCCTGCCTTAAAGGTAAAAAAAAAAAAAAAAAGAACTAAGAAACAGTTACTGATACATGTTATCATATGAAATGGTTTCTTTTGACAGATGTGTTTGGCTTATGAGACACATGAACTGAAGCTTCCACAACACAGGTTTAGAGTGTGTCCAGAGAGTCTGTGGTCCATGAACAATGATCACACAAAGATGGTGGAGGTGAGTCAGCTCTATATAGATTCTCTGTCTTGATTAAATCAGGTTAAAACTGTTATTAGCTCACCTGAGCCAAATGTTTTGTTGTATAAAATGAATGATACCGTGTAACCAAATTCTCTTAATTGTTTGAAAAACAGTACATGGTCATGTTTGTAGAATAAAAACTTGACTTGCTGTGTGTCTCAGTCTGATTCAATTCATAACTGTAATCAGATCCAATAATTTTGATTTTTAGAAGCTTTCTTGATTTCGATTTTTTTATGGCTCATGTGACATGTGAATAACTGAATTTTATTTTTAATCAACAGATTGCAGATGAACATGATGCATCACCATTGCCAGATTCTAACCAAGCTTTTAAATATTGACATCTAGAAGATTAAATATGGATACAACTATAGAGAAACAATAAATATTTATTCAGTGGCAAAAAAACCCCAATATCTTACCAAATTATACATGCCCAGAAGCAATAAAGTATATTATTTGTTAAAATTTTGTTTAAATAACTGACATCATCAATAATTATTTAACATAGTTCTGAGCAAGTATTATGATTTATGTGATATATTATGTGAAATAGTAACAGCTTTCATTCTTAGAAATATTTTAGTACCTTGATTTGGTTGGTACATATATTTGATTATTTGTCTAGAATAGTTCTTTTAACAAAACAATGAGTTACCTCCCTTTAACACATTTTTAATGAACATTCAATGTTAATGCTTTACTTCATTGTGAGAACTATTATTATGCTTGTAAATTCTATTGTAATAACTGCCACCTGAACTGTGAATTCTCATAATTCAGAAATTATCTTGGAATACACTACATTTTAAGTCTTGGGCGTCAATGTTTGTGGATTATTAAGCAAAGTTTTATTGGTTCTTGGGGACAGTTTTGTGGGTAATTCCTGTATACAGAAGATCAAATGAATCGATACATTGATGAAATAATCATGTGTGGAAATGTAAATTATTGGGTAGGGTGACCACAAAATCCAGGAACATTGATTAGCCCACAAACAATGATGATTCTACATGTGTGATAAAAATAATGTTGATAAATTAATTCTTATTGAACTCCATACACTTATAGATAGTTTTCGATTGACCAAGAGTTACTTCCCGTTGGCCGCCATACTGGAGGTCCAAATGCTCATATTCCTTCATTGTTCAACCAATTTAAAATTTTTATATTTGCTATTTTGAATTAGAAATCATTATTTTTCTGAAGTATATAAATTTTTGGAAGCCTCCTTTATTTAAAAAAAATTATTTGATAAAGATTTTCCACCAAATATTTCTGCTATATTTTCTTAAACTTGGTAAGACAAAGAGGGAAAATCACTGAGTCGACCTCCAATATGGCGGCCAACGGGAGGTAACTTTCGCTAAATTCAGGCCTATCGAAAACTATCTATATATTCATTGAATCAGAAAATATTATTTGATGATGTTCATTCTAGACCTAACCTAAGCAAGTTACCAGTAACAAGAAATTTAAACTAAAATTAACTAAAGTTAGCCCACTTTGCAACATTTTATAATAGCGAGCGCAGCGAGCGTCGCGAAGCGACGCTCGCGAACCGAGCTCAATAGACTAACGTGTATGAACAGAGGAAATTCGGATTGAAATCTGTACATACGTCAGCCAAATTTCTCTGTGCAACCTTCCCAGAATTCCTGCACTACCCAATGTCCTTTGCGCGAATAAATCAAAAATAGTAAAAAAATTAAAGGAACATTGTTTCTTACCGAAATCTTAACGAAATGATTTTGCCTTACCTTATTCAAAAAAATACCCCCATGTCACAACACCGGCCTTCACCTTGCCATTCGGAAATGATACAAATGACGTCACCGGAAACTTACGAATTTTGACGAACTAATGTCGGTTGCTTCCGTGAAACTCGGAAAACATGTTGCGGTGCATAGCAACATGGTGGCTAAAACATGGCGACAACTTTCTTGAAAAGAACGATTTAAAGCAATCTTTTTTCCATAAAACTAGCGTTTGCGTCCAAAGTCAACAGAACGTTTTATCTGACGTCATACTTTCCAATCGGCAATCCTCGGCTGACTCCGCTACGCTCCATTCAAACGTGGTACGAGTCATCCGAGGAACTCCGATTGCATACTTTCGTCACTTCAACGGTTCGGGTATTTCCGATTTTGTCGGACATTTCCGAGAAGTTTGGAATCTCGATCCCGATGCTTGGGAAATGATTTCTTTTTATTGTTTTGTTTTATTCTTTTTCTTGAATGATAGACAGTACACGTGTAGGTTTCTGCTAGTAAATAAACTGCGCTCGCCCCAACGGTCACACCGTAAAACATATTACTTGTAGATGTATAACGTGATGATCCAAAATACATGATTTTGTAATATCTTATTTAAAAATGGATTGCTTGATGACTATCACCCCCCAAAAAAAGTTCTGTTTTTTACTACATGTATTTGTTTTCTCTTTGTTTATCATGATGTTGTTTCTGAAAGGGTGGAGAAATCTTTCCCTCCACCTGCATGTCTGTCCCTGCAAACTTCTCCGGGCTATGTCTTATTTATGGAAAAACTCTGAATTAATTAAAGCTTGATCAATCATTATGTTTACTATATAGTAGAACAGAGATTGTTAATGTGTCCTGACATTGACCAAAGGTCATTGCAGAAAGATGAAGGTGACTGCATGGCTGAAAAATTATTAAATTTTTCATTCAAAATTAAATTTTGCATGTCACTGAGTTGTAATAGAGAATCACTTAAAGCTTTATATGCTAAGGTATAATGGAAGACAGACATCTCGGCCCAATGACACCTCGACCCGTGAAGGTTGACAGGTCGGCCCAAAATTATTGACACGTTGGCTGAGGGGTCGGTATAATATAAATAGCTTATATTAAGTACAATGTTTTAATACATACCAATCAGCTAGGGTGTGGTGTGGAAGCATCCTAGGGTAGTGTATATTCTAAATTGTTCAATTTATAACCCCCATGGAGGATGGGACCAAAATAGATCGATATTACAAGGAGGAATCTGGTGAAGAGAGCAGGGCCAGCCACTCAGGTGACTGTTGAGCCCATGGGCCTCTTGTATACCTAGCCATTATTTTTCACATATTTAAATTAGAATAAATTTGAGTGATTTTTTTTTAAATAGAAACATTGTGTTTATCCTTCAAATAAATAAGTCAAATTAGCATTTTTCACCAAAAAAAATGCACGAAACAGTTTAGTACCGAGTTGTCTAGCACCCGTTTACGTTGTTGTCATTGTTGCTGTGTGATTAAAATAGAGTTTCAAATAAAGTTGGAAATGATGTCATACCTATATATTTATCTTGTCAATTAAGGTAGTGTAAATTTAACTATTTTTTCACTCTTCACGGAAAGATAAAATGAATAAACAGGCACAGGCCCCTTCGCAAAATTCAGAAGAGGACAAAGTGAAAGTAGAAGATGCCGCAGCAGTATGTCCAGTTGTCTACATATTGAGAGACATAGAACAAGGAATGGTCAATGCCTGGAAGTCTACCTTCCCTAGCTCGTATAAAAATGTTCAAGTAAGTTAGTTATCTGTGACTTTGCTAATTTTATATTAACCCCCCCCCCCCCCCAACAAAAAAAAAAAGTCTCTGCATGATTACGAAAAAGAATTCTCAAATAGTATAATATTCCCACACTTTATCACATTTTAAAGTAATGAAGTTTTTGATTGCATTTAATATCAATTAATCTATTTTCTTGTTTACAGATTTCCTGTGGTGATATTTTTAAAGATGCCCCAGCTGCTCATGCCATAGTTAGTATAATCCGCTGTATAATTAGATTATCCTCACGAAGACAATAGTGATATGATTGACATATTTATTGTCTTCATGTACTTGCATGTCTAACCAACAGCCATACATGTAGTCAGAGGTCTGTAAAGGTCACCCTAGCTTGATGGAATGTTATAATTCTATCGTTAAAATGATAATTAAATGTCAGGACAATATTGTCATATTTTAAAATTACTGTAAACCAACTTTTATTCATGTCAACTTTTATTCAAGATTCGTCAGTTTGAAATCCATCCGCGACGATTAATTTTCACAAATAAGGGAACATTTTCTAGTCAAAAACAATTTCAGCAAACTAAATGGTTCGCAGCGATTAATATTTGCGACTTGAAGTAGGTTGCAAAACTTGCCAATATATCTCGCATGCAAATAAAAGTTGGATTACAGTATTTTGCTTCTATCTGTCATATCAACTTCAGGTGTCCCCTGCCAATAGTTTTGGTTTTATGGATGGAGGAATTGACATGGTGTACTCCAGGCACTTTGGGTGGCAAATGTAAGTCACTTTTCAAAAATGTTTCTACATTTGATTTTTAATTGCTGTGAGAAAATGCTGTTATAAAGTATATACACTATGAGAAAACATTGAGACATTGGTGTTAAATTACCTTGCATCTGCCTCTGTCACTCACTACGCATTAATGATGATCATTTATGTTTTATTTGAGTTTTAAAGTAAAAGTTCATTTAACAAGGTGTGTTTGTGAAACACTATGCGCCCATAGGCAACAAAGTTCGAAAAAGCTATTTCTAGCATATAGGTCAGTCAAGGTCACAAGGACATTGACCTTGGTGTCATTTGAAAGAACTTAATTAGTGGAGTAAGCATACCAAATATGAAGTCTCTATCTCCTATAGTGCAAAAGTTAAGGCGAAAGTTCGAAAAAAGCTACTTAAGCATATAGGTCACAGTCATGGTCACAAGGTCATTGATCTTGGTGTCATTTAAAAGAGCTTAATTAGTGGAGTATGCATACCAAATATGAAGTTTCTACTCTCTATCTCCAATGGTATAAAGGTAATGGCGAAAGTTTGAAAAAGCTATTTTTAGCATATCGGTCGCAATCAAGGTCATAGGGTCATTGACCTTGGTATCACTTGAAAGAACTTTTAAAATTAATGGAGTAATGCATACCAAATATGAAGTCTCTATATCTCATGGTTCAAAAGTTATGCCGAATGTTAAAGTTGACAACAGACAGATAAGCAGATAAACAGACAGGACAGAAACAATATATGCACCGGATCTATCGATCCGGACGCATAAAAATTGATTAAGTTGCTTAAAAAGTATTTTCCTCCAGGCTGAACTTTTTTAAAATAAGATTTCATTTTTTGCACTTGAGAATTTAAAGAATTCAGATTCTTTGTCGGCATCAGCTGCTGCAGTATGTCTGTATTTTATTCTCCTTTAATCCAAATCACATTCATTCAGTAATTTATGTTATCAATTATAATTTCATAGGCAGGAACGCTTACAGAAAGTAATTCGAGAAGAACATGATGGAGAAATTTTAGTTGTAAGTTTGTTATTTTATGATGTGTCATAGGTAATAATGCAAGTCTTTTAGATAAAAAATATCTAAGTCTTGAAAAACTTGTTTCACAATATCAAGGTTCCAATATTTTTACATCTTAGTTGGTGTTCTCTTGTAATAAAAAAGAGTTGTTCCTACATGTATTTTGTCTTGATTTCAGGGACATGCTGTAATTATTCCAGCCTACGATGAACAGGTGCCCCCTAAAGAGGAGGATCTAAAGGGGTGTAATGAGGAAATCCCCATTAAATACCTGATATCAGCCCCTACTATGAGGGTACCTCAGAGTGTAGAAAACACAGTGAATGCTTATTTGGCATTTAGAGCTGTCATATTAGCTGGTAAATATATAAAAATTATCTTAATTTTACTCAACTTTGTAAACAAAAGTCGTTCTTTTAACAACAGCAGATTAGTTATAAAGTAGTTACATGGACATCATTAAGTGGAGCATCCCCTCCCAAAGAGAATATCAAGGAAGCATTTGACATCAGTCACCATATAAATTATGACACTTCAGTTTCACACAAAGGACAAACTAAATTTTCCCACTCACAGACACACAAGCATGTTACTATATCTCATAATCCTCCAACTCTGCTTCAAGGGAATAATGAAGAATAATATGACAGGGACATTTTTGTGTTTGTTGATCCAGATTAGGGGTCCATGTACTTTGTATTATAATAATGGGGAATACATGCATATTCAATGTATAATATCTTTTTTTTTTAATTATTAATTATTGTGAAAATTTAAAAACAACAAATATAACCCTTTACCTTTTCAACAGTAATTTACCTACAGTAATTTATCCTTTGAATAAAAATTTATTTTTTCTGGTGATATTTTCACTATTGAAATGGTGAAACTATAAAAACTGCAGCAAATCTCTATTTTCTCTACTCCACAAAGAGTGTTATAAAGAATTACTCAAATGGACTACTGTCTAAAACTCAAATAATTTCTATATCCATATCTAGCTACAAAATATTGGATAATATATCCTCTTTTTATAAACGGACCTTATGTGTAAATTTCGGTTAACTCTTTGTTATTTAATTCATGTATTTTTGCGATCAAGTTTTTCTCAACATAATGTTAACTGAATTATTTATTACTAAAATGTTAATCTTTATTTTATAAACTGTTGATTAGTACAGAAACACAACGTGAGGAACCCCGGTAATGAGATCAGGAGTGTGCTGTGTCCAGGCCTAGGCACTGCTGTAGGAATGATGGATTACAGGCAGTGTGCTCAACAGGTGTGTATAAAGGGGCAAAACTCTTGTCATTTTATACATCTGCCATTCTGTTTTAATCAATATCAGATTAAAACAAAAGAAGTGCAATATATGACCGAAAAGGAGGAATTTAGGGAGAGGGTGAAGAGATTTTATTCCTAGCAGGAGCCTGTTAACAAAATTCTGAAGTTTTTATGTTGATTACAAATGTTTTTATAAAATTCATTTATTTTAAAATGAAATAGAAAGAATATATTTTAAATAACACTTCC